TTAATAGACGGCCATAAACAAGAAGGAATTAATCCGGAATCCCCAACTGTCTTTTCTATCAAGCCCCTGTGGGGCATTATTGTCCAAAAAGGAAAGCACAGCAGCCGCAAAACTCACAGCCATAAACGAAAAACCCAATAGCCTGGCCCCTCCCCACAGACGCAAAACACATGAATATACGAATACAGTCGTAGTCCCAAATGTGGGTGCACTGTGTTAGGTAGTGTTTGGTTATATAAGAGAACGTGACAAGCTTTCATATTCAGAAGAGAGGTATAACCAGAGAATGAGAGTAAGAGGTGATGGGAGAAGGGGGAGGATTTTGTGCTATTTCTGAGACACTTGAATGAGCCTCTTTCCTTCTCTTTCACTCTGTCTCTTTCTCTTGCACCCTCACCATTTTGCCATGCAGTGCTGCAGAAAAACTTTTGATCTTTTGCACTTTTTATCTAATCTTTTATGCACATCTTCTTTGTCTGCAAAATCTGAATGTAATTGTATTACTCCAATGTATGTTTATTTAAGTGCTTTTAACTTACATATTTATTAGCAATAAATTAACAGCTTGGTTCATGTGGGCTGAATGTTTTTTTTTACTGAAGAAAACAACAACTTTGCCATTTGCCTGAATGAAGTAATACTGGGACATTTTTAATGTTGTTCATGTATGTGTTTTTTGTAAATTTGTGTTTAAAGGGTTTTAATTCTACAATATATGGTATAAAAACGTCTGAGTATTGCCCTCTTCAGGTTGAACGGGGGCTACTGCAGATGCATTTTCCTATTGGAAGTTGTGGTACTCTGTGATATCAGAGAGTACCAGCTAACCACGCCCTTGCCTTCAGAAAGATGGGTCTCAGATGCATGCCCCCCTCCACTGGGCTCTGCCCATTTTTACAGCATTTTTCAAATATTGCCAGTGGGTGGAGTCAGGCTCTGACCATGGGTTTAGTTACCTTTTAAGAAGTTCACATTTTATATGTAAAAAAAAAAATGCACTCAGAGGGCCAGATGTACTAATGCTTTTGCGCCCACTTCAGGCGTATTTGTTTCGCAAAGTGCGCATAAAACCATGACGAAGTATGTACAAATGGGATGCACCGGAATGAAAGACTGAGACTGCCTGTTGTGGGAACTAAAAATGGCAAAATGCTCTTTTCGTGTCGTGCATGCATTCATGGGATGGTCAAGGGGAAAGTGGGAGTCTCACATACAGTAGAGATGGGAGGGGAAACGCCTTAAAAACTGCACCTTCTTATGTATTGCGTTGTGTACAGAAAAAGCCGGTGAAAGCGTGCCTCTATTTTGCGCTGAAAATTCTCTGTCTCTTAAAAGCAGGTGTAATTTAAGAAGCATTTCCTGGCATATGCCTCCTGGTGAAATGGCAGCAGTAATCCGAGTAAGACGAGCTGAAAAGACTTTTGCCACAAGAATCACACTTTTTCAGTTGAGTGAAAACAAAATCATTAAACGTTACAGATTAAGCAGCTACGCAATATTACAGTTACCGGAAGAAATCTAAGAGGAAATCAAATCTCTGACTCAGCATTCACATTCCATTCCAGTAGTTGTTAAACTCCTCGCTATAAATTACAATTATTGGCATTCACATGCCAACAGAATCATTTCAAACAGTCATAGCATCAGCAGTGATTGGAGGCCCATTAAAACAATGAATGGATCCCCACCCACTATAGCTTACGGTAGCTAACTGCAGGTTGGATACACAACACGCACACCGCAGTTTTACATCAAGCACTTTCTGCGTCTTGGCCATGGCGCTATTAACACTGCGTTCGCAAATGTACGTACATCTGGCCCTGAGTGTTCAACGTACTGTAGTGTTCAGCATTTTAATAAGACACAATCTGTTCATTGTGTGATTTTTTTTTTTTTTGAGTTAGAGCAACTGACCGGGAGGGGAGAGTTTCAAATAACTAGTCTTTATTCTTTTGATGACAGTCAGTGGAGTAACATGATTCTCAACCTAAACAGTCCAACAGGGGTAATTCATCTGTTTGAATAAGGAGAAAATAATCAATGTCACGGGTAAACAATTGTGCTGACAAAGGCAAGGCAAGGCAAGTTTATTTATATAGGACATTTCATTCACAATGGTAATTCAAAGTGCTTTAGATAGAGGAAATTAAAATAATCAAAATAAATAAGATAAATTAAATCAGTTTAAAATAATAAATAAAATACAGTACAAACAGTCGGACGAACAGTGGCACAGTGCTCATTCAGTAAATGCACAGCTAAACAGATGTGTTTTGAGTCTGGATTTGAATGTGACTACTGTAGGAGCACATCTGATCTCCTGAAAGCTGGTTCCAGCTGTGACTGCCATAATAGCTAAAAGCAGACTCTCCGTGCTTTGAGTGAACCCTTGGCATTTCTAGCTGATGTAAGCCTAATGATCTGAGTGATGGGTTTATATTCAGTGAGCATATCTGCGATATATTGAGGTCCTAGCCAATTGAACGATTTATACCAGCAAGGGGTGGAGATGGGTAGGATTAGGGGTGGGGTTAGGGATCAGGGGGCGGAGGTATATGTAAGGTTCGGATTTCATGTTCTGCAGTGATGTCCATCTCCATTTTCTGGTCCTGCTCAGAATACTGGCAGCAGCGTTCTTCTGTATGAGCTGCAACTGTCTCATGGTCTTTTTAGGAAGGCCAGTGAGGAGGAGTCCGTTACAATAATCCACCTTGCTGGTGATAAAAGCATGCACAAGTTTGTCTAAGTCTTGAATGGAAACAAAGCATCTAATTCTTAAAATATTTTTCAGATGATAGTATGCTGATTTAGTTATTGCTTAGTTTGACATGACCACTGAAACTAAGGTCTGACTAGAGACACACCAAGATTTCTGTTGTTTCTGTTTGACCCCTGGAGTGAAGTTATGCATTCACCTTGAGAACTTCATCTTTGTTTCCAAATGCAATGACTTTAGTTTTGTCTTTGTTTAGCTGATGAACGTTTTGGCACATCCAACTGTTTACGTCATCAATGCAGGGAGTCAATGGGGCTGTAGTGTACAGGTTGAATAGGAGTGGTGCAAGAATTGAGCCTTGACAAAGCCATTCAGCATGGACATGAACTGGTCATTGGGATTCAGCCACCTACAGAAATTGATTTGGTAATGTTTTAATGGGCATTGTGTTGATGAATTATAACTTTAAATGACAAATTCAGAAATTGTGATTTGATTATGTGAAGGTTTTATTTTTCTTATTTTTCTTATCTTTGAAAAATAGAACGACATTTATTTAAGATAGATATTTGTCCATGGCAAATAAAAAGAATAATTTCTTCAAATAAAATGATATATAAAATATATATTGATTATTAAAATTCACTTAATTTCATGGAAACTACAGCCAGATGTGTGAAATTACCAATGACATTATGGACTAATTTATAATGCAAGCAAATTCAAATTAATTTTTTTAGAAAACATGTCCAACATAAGATTGAGCTTTGTTACTTGGCTAAGGTAAATCAGGGGTCAAAGGTCATTATTAGGGCTATAGTTTTGCCTCTTATTTTTGTCTGCTGCTGTGCACTGGACTATTACACCTGTCACTGAGATCCTTCTGCTGAGCTGTGGTATTGCTGCATTGTGTTTCACCTCTGAGATTGGACGTGTTGCTCAAGCATGTGGTCTTGGTGTAAGACTTTATGCGTGGGACTTGCTGTAGGAGGTTTGCACAAGGCCATGTTATGCGGACTATTCTTCTCACCTGTAAAAAAAAATGAAAGGACACGCTAACAGGCGGAGAACTCATTGTGCTTCAAATATACTATATAATTGATATGCAGTGAAAATTAAACATTTTTTGAGAAGGCAGCTTGAGGATATATTCTTTCAGGTAATTTTTAACAGTAAAAATCAAATTTGCATGGTCAAAATTTCCTTTAATGACTGAGAAATTTATTTGGGCATAAAAAACAAATGCAATTTTTATAATAGCATTTTGTAAGCTCAGTTCACCATCATTTCAGGGAAGGGTATTGGAGTAACAGTCCATATTTTTTTAGCTGAGGTACTAGACTATTAGGGCAAAAAGATTAAATAAAACAAAGAAACAATGACATGGCATATTGCTGTATAATATATTGAGTGAACAACCGAGCGGGTGTGAGAGAAAATTAAAGGGATTCAGTTCCCATGAGCTGCAGACGGAGTTTGTTTCTTTATTGTTCCTTCATTGTGCTCATCACAACACTTCTAAAGCATCTTTGAAAGCCCCTATCTCCTGAAATCACGGCTAGCTTAGTTGAATCATCACTGGTTTTACATTGTTTCCAACTTGTATATGAAAATCACAGTGGCACAGTGTTGGAATGTGTTTTCTGGCTAACATTTCTATCAATAAACACACAGACTGGGCTGGGGACTAAATATTATTTAATGCCATGAACTCTTGGTGAGATTGGCATGATAATGGATGTGGCAATGTTAATGTATTTGGTCTTGGTGGAATAGATCAGCTACACTGCTGCTGCTGCTGATAATGATTATTGCGGCTGCTGTGAAGAAAGTACAAAGACTTGCTACTGCCAATTCACATTCACAGACATTGCTGCTGTGAGCATGTAAGACACACAGTACGTGAAATAACCCCCGTATACAGATCAGGTGGAGCTGGAGGGTTTCTGAAAGCGCGCTGTAGACTGTTAACATTAAACAATGGAAAGTATTTGAATATTGAGCAGCAAGCTCATTGGCCGCTGATGCCATAGTAAACAATCAGCTGCACTATGTTGATAATGATGTGATCGCTTTGGTAGTGTCATCAGACACATTTGACTAATATGTCTAAATCAGCTCTAGGCTAAAAACCAGTGAAGGTATTGTGTACATACCTGCCTCATTAGAAAGTTATTTTTTGATGCAAACAAAATAATTTTTAAATCAACATTGTGTTTTTCCCTTCTCATTTTTTATCCGTTGTTTCTCTCTCTCTCTCTCTCTCTCTCTCTCTCTTCCGCAGTGGGTGGCATTTGCCTCGCTTTTCTTCATACTGGTGTCCATAACCACATTCTGCCTGGAGACACACGAGGCCTTCAACCCCATCGTTAATCGCACATTTTTTAACGCTCTCGACAACACCACCAAGTTTCACCTGGAGACAGAGACAGTGGTCTACCTAACTTACATCGAGGGAGTGTGTGTGGTGTGGTTCACCTTTGAGTTCCTCATGCGTGTCACCTTCTGTCCGGACAAAATGAAATTCATCAAAAACACCCTAAACATCATAGACTTTGTGGCCATCCTGCCATTTTACCTGGAGGTAGGCCTGAGTGGGCTTTCTGGTTCAGAAGCAAAGGACGTTCTAGGTTTCCTCAGAGTGGTGCGATTCGTTCGGATCCTCCGAATCTTCAAGCTGACGCGACACTTCGTGGGCCTGCGCGTACTGGGACACACTCTCCGCGCCAGCACTAATGAGTTCCTCCTGCTTATCATCTTTCTTGCTCTTGGAGTGCTGATCTTCGCCACCATGATCTACTACGCCGAGCGAATCGGTGCCAATCCCAATGACCCGCGTGCCAGCGATCACACCCACTTCAAAAACATCCCAATTGGCTTCTGGTGGGCAGTTGTGACTATGACCACGTTGGGCTATGGAGACATGTATCCTCAGACTTGGTCAGGCATGTTGGTGGGTGCATTGTGTGCTCTGGCAGGTGTGCTAACCATCGCCATGCCTGTGCCTGTCATTGTCAATAACTTTGGGATGTACTACTCTCTAGCCATGGCTAAGCAGAAGCTACCAAAGAAAAAGAACAAGCATATTCCCCGTGCCCCCCAGCTGGGCTCACCTAACTACTGTAAGTCCACCATGAACTCACCCCACCACAGTCCACAAAGTGACCATTGTGCTCCCGCTGCCCAGGAGGAGATTTTAGAAATGAGCAGAGCAGGTAGGACATTTTTAGATACATTTTTGGATATTTTTAGTAATATCCATCTGAACTAATAACATAGAAGACGTTTAAGATTGAACTCACCTTTTGTTCCCTTTCGCATCACTATGTTTCTAGAACTGCCTCTCATTTGGGAATTGTTCAAATACAGATCAACCATCTGGAGACATTATAAAATCTCATCGCACTGCATTCTATTCAGCCTCTTTACAAAGGCGCGCATAGAAACAAACACAAGTCTTCACCATGGTTGCATAACGACCAATACCCCATGCAACATTTTGCATATCTATATGTTTTTCCATTAGACTCCTGTGAGGGTCAATTATATCCACCTAGACAAACAGGAGCACACTCATTCAACAGCTTGCCCTAATTACTATTTAATTGTCATCACGCACTGTAGTATTTTTTGTTTGCTTTTGTGACATTAAGCATTTTTGATTGTATGGCTTTCATTAGCTGCAGTTGAATGGCTATTGTAAAAATTAAAATGAAAAGTGAAAATTCCACAGAAGATTATACAGTAGGGCCGCAACAAATAATCTATAGTAAAAATATAATTATATTTCATTATCGATTAGTTTGGTTTGTGTCACACATTTGAAAGGTGGCAGAGTGAGCTGCTGCATGAAAAGTGCTTGCCATAAGCTATGCAAAGCAGGAGAGAACTTTATTAAATGGTTCAAAGCTGATCATAAGCAGTGTTACATGGGTTGCCCTGTCAGGTGTTTGTGCTGTTCAATCCACCTGTGAGGTGTTTTCACCCGCGCATAACCTTTTAGCATTTGAGTGCTATTTTCTCATCTGTACTAAATCTATATTCATATTTCGTCAAAAGCGTGTCCAGGCAGTGAGTCTCACTGTTGACACACAGTTGTTTTTTTTAATAATGTAATGTTTATATTTTAAAACTTTTTTATGCATTAAATGTATTGCCTAGCTTACATTTATACGTTTGTGTTTGTAGCCTTTTAGAGGAGGACAGGGTGTGGAGTAACATGTTTTTTGTTCAGCAGAAAATAAACCATAGCATTATAATCAGTGTTTATCAGTGGTGGATGCTTACAAAGTAGAAACGTTTTGTTAATGTTCACCACTGATAGATACTGATTATAATGCTCCGAGGACATTTTTCAAGTATCTGTACTTTATCAGACTATTTTTATTTTGGGAAACTTTAATTTTCACTTCTCTGCATTTAAAGCTTAATATTGTAAGCTGAATAATACTTATTCATAATTACCCCACTACATAAAAACATCTCATTCCTTTTGAACTGAAGAAATTGTTCAGTTCCCCCCCGAGACGCAAAAGTGATGTCCGATTTGTGAACGAGTTCATTCTTTCCAATGAACGTTACATTGGTTCACAAATAATCGAATTGGACTGATGCATTTGCAGCTGTTCTTGAGTCAATGTCTCACTGATTCAACGATCCAGGCAAAATGAGCCAAGAACAAGGATATCGTCGGAGCTTGAATGTGTGTGCTGATTGCACAAAAAGTAAGTTACTTATGAATTTTAGTATTGATAATTGTCAATGAAATTATGAAATTATGTCTTCAGTAAAAGGGCAAAGCAGTAAAGGGGCAAATTAAATGTCCATACATCTTCCCCACTATTTGCATAGCATTCCTCTTGAAATGTTTCAATGTTTGAAATGTTATCACAATCTTATTAGTGCTGACCTGTCTGGCTATAAATTTCATCTATCAGTACTTTTTACTTTTTACTTGCATTCATCAAAAAATTTAATTCAAAAGTAAACCAAAAATGAGTACTTTTTCTGGAACAATATTTTAATGGTATCTGTACTTTTACTCAAGTACTTGATTTCTGTACTTCGTCCACAACTGGTATCCATGTTACCTAATGTTGGTTTGAGTTCAATTTTGTGGTAAAATTGTAAATAGGCTTAGTAAATAAGAACTAAATTCGAAGTTACCTATCTGCCATCCAGTCCACTCAGCATTCTTACCATTAGTGAGTGGTGGCGAGTGCCTTCATTTGACCCACTCATGACATTTGACAAATCTGACTGGAGGGATTCCCCTTCTTCTTAACGGCGTAATTTCATCCCTGCTTTACATGGAATAATCCGTGAGGTTTCAAGCTTTCTGATGCCAAGGACCCCCAAATATTATATATATATATATATATATATATATATATATATATATATATAAGATATATACATGATCCCTTTCTGAGGGACTCAAAAAAGAGAGAACTCCTGTTTGAAAACCCCTGGATTGGTCCAGTGTCAGTGAATGGCCAAACAGTGCTTTCTAGCTTTAGCATATATAGCTAAGGTGGATCGTTGGCCTCAGGAAAAACCCCTTTGTTGTGAGAGTTTGTGACAAACACTTAACTTTGAGAACTCACTCAATGAATAATGATACTATTAAGAGCTCACGGATGTCAGACTGACGTTCAGATATTTATACAAGGAGAGTCCTTCCTCCAGTCTTTGCATACATAATCATGCCCTGTTAGTTTAAGACAAATCTTTGTTATGAAGTGAAAGGATGGGTTTTCACACAGTCTCTTTATTATTTCATTCTCTGTATTTTTGCACTGCACTAGAGCCTGTTGCTATGGCAACAGTGTCCAAGCAACCACACAATAGGAATCGCACTCTGCAATGAGCTGCAGTCATTCACTCGCCTCGCACGACTCCTGTGCCTTTCACACGGTACTGCAAAAACACACTCAGTAAGATGGTGTGAGGATGAAGGTAGTATAAATCAATGCGTGACCTACTGTTAATTGATTTTGGAAATAAAAGGTCTCTGGTAGTGTTTTTTACTGATTCGTCTGCATCATTTGTAATGTTTAGATTTAAGAGTGAAACATACATATTGAAACCAATTCAATTTGGGTCTTCATGCCAACTGGCTTGAAAATATTAAACATTACCCACATAAAAAGAATTTATAGATGTTCTTCCTTTCCTACATGCTCTCTCTCTCTCTCTCTCTCTCTCTCTCTCTCTCTCTCTCTCTCTCTCTCTCTCTCTCTCTCTCTCTCTCTCTCTCTCTCTCTCTCTCTCTCTCTCTCTCTCTCTCTCTCTCTCTCTCTCTCTCTCTCTCTCTCTCTCTCTCTCTCTCTCAGATTTTCTAAATCTCTCTTGTAAATGAGTTTACAGATGGCACAAAGGCCTTGATTATCAGCTCCATCCATTTGACTTTGGGCAGAGAACCGTAAGAATCACCAGCACATAGAGTGAAAGCATCTGTTGAATTGGCCACGGTTGCAGAGAAACACAGAAAACACTCTCAGCTCTGTAACACACACACACACACACACACACACACACACACACACACGCACACGCACACGCACACGCACGCACACACACACACACACACACACACACACACACACACACACACACACACACAGATGAGTCAACACTGTCCTTTATAGACAGTGCCTATATCCATCCCTGTCGTATAGTTATTTCTAAATGAGGTCTCCTGAGAAATATGAGTTGTGTAATTATCATTATGCTTTTGGCCCTGTTTTTATTCAAAATGGTCCACTCACACTTAACATCCAGCCTAATGGTATTTTAAGAGCTGCTGTAAATTGTGTCATTCATAGATCTGAAATAATATACTGTAAATATTGTCATATGTAATATATATAGTTTGGATTCGGTATATTTCACCACCCCTGTGTATTTCAAGGAATAGTTGCTATTAATTGGATTCGGTCACAGCCGCAGGAAAGAAAATGCTGTGTGCTTGTCACTACATGCATCTTTCAAGACTGAATTTGGTTGTATAATGTAGTTGTTCCCAGTAATCCATAAACAACTGAACTCTGTGTACAGAACAACATGAACCTTTTTTAATGATCCGAACTGATGCTTAAACTTTATGTCTGTTATTCATATGATACAGATTATGAATGGATAAAAATGTGGAGAGTGCAGAGAGCAGAAAGATTGATGAAGAAAAAGAAGGATTTGATCATGCTTAGCAGCGAGGAAGTAGGGCAGGTGCGGCAGAGCCCCAGCAGATCTGTCCTTCACTGGGGCTCTACCTCAGATATGTAAATATAATAATGACCGTTCTCATTCACACAGAATTATTCACAACTGAATTTTGGACACTAACCAGTTGAACAAAATGTCTCAAAACCCTTGGAGATTTAAGTTACTTTTAATGGTACATTCGGTACTGTTATATTCTGATACATTTAATAAATTTTTAACTAGTTACAAATTATTCATGTGTTGTGACTTCACAAAAGTGACTGTGATAGGTAGCAAAGCCAGGCATAGCAGCACCAAACATCATACAGATTACAGTTTATGTAGAAACAGAAAATATCAACTTTTTAAAAAGAAAAAATTCTTAAACACTAAAAGTGGAAGTTGAGGCCTGCTCAGTGAAACCATTCACTCATGTACCTAATCTTCAGACCAAGTCAGCTCAAATTACCCCCTTGAATTTCTGTTTAAAGTGCAAATATATTTGAATATATATTTACGTTTGTATGCATATACATTTTCATAAATGTATATACAGACATGCACACAACATGCAAAACATAAGACATCTCTTGCAAAAGTTGACTAATTTTTAAGTGGCCATCATTGAGAAACATTTTGCCTGCAGTGTGAAAGTGAAAGAGAAACAGAAACAACAGTAGAGAGACTGAGAGGAGGGCTTGTTCATCAGACTATTCATAAAGATGAGTCATCTCGTCATTCCTCCTTGTTTTCAGAAGCTTCTCCATCACAGAGGCTTGCATCACTTCACAACTTTTCCTGTGTGTGAACCATGAATAAACACACACACACAAAAAAAAAAATACCAATACACATCTGCTGCTTTGAAATTTCTTAGAATTTTCTATTATCTTCAACAAGTTTTGAAGAATATTCTGACCGCTCTTTTCAATGTAATTTCATTGAAATTAATTCATTGGGGCTATATCATAAAGTATCATGAAAATGGCTCAAATAACTTGTGCTCTATAAGTCATATTTGTTGAGTAACCGACTCCTTGGTGTAACCATCAGAGTTTATATGAGAAATGATGATGTCCAATTGTTGACCAAATCATTCTTTTGAATCTTTCCAGTTGATTCAGCTTCAGTTTGTTCAACACAAAAAACTTTTGTATGGCTTTGGAAGACAGTGAGTACATTATGACAGAATTTTCATTTTATATAGGTTAAATTAATGATCTTAAGTAGGTATCAATAATATGTTGAGTCACCGTGGTAATATACACCATAGTGAGTATCAATAGGCCATAATGAAATGTAGCTAATCTAATATTCCAACATTTAAATAACCGTCAAGTTGAAGCCTGCCGTACTTGCTGATAGATGCTCTTTTGTTGACAGTAATATATTAGCAAGCGCCTGCTACAATCAATGTTAGCCATACAATGGAAAATCCAGGTGGAAGAAATGGTAGTTCACAGTGCTCTTTCCTCTGAGGAGCTTTGGCAGTGCTCTGCCTTCTCACAGGTCTGATCGATGAGGCGTAAATCGCCTGAGCAGAAGCTTCTGGCTGCCAGAGAGCTCACAGGTGAAAAGGCAGGTTGCCATGAGCTGTTTTTTATATATTACACCGTGGCTAGGGGCTATAATTCAATGCATCTCCCTCACTTTTTTTTTTGGAGCAAAACCAGAGCTGCACACTGCTGTTTGGTCAAATGTAGTGCTGAAAACAAGTGAGGTGTAGGTTTTTGCAGTACTAGTTTTTAGGAGATTTTGTTATTTTAACTAATTCACAGCTAAATTTATTCCCAAAATAATAATATATGAGCAGACATTTTTATCAAATACAAAACAATACGATTTAGAACTGCATCTATTCTAAGCTATGTATTTTATCAGTTCATGAAACACTGTAATCAGGAGAACAGGTTAACATTGCTTTTGTTGTTGAATGAGTATGCTTTATAAACCCTTATTTAAACCTCAAATTAAATGAATGAGTGCAATCATTCATAACATATTTACATCCATGTCACAAGCAGGGCTTCTCATTACCCTCTCCCGTCCTCACTTGTATCAGACTAGATGTATCGCCATTGCTACCTGTTTTTCTTACATGTGCTTCTGTGTTTAAAGATCCCAAAGTGAACGGTGATGCAGCTAAAGCAGCGCTGGCCAATGAGGATTGTCCCCACATAGACCAAACCCTTTCACCTGAGGACGGCCAGATCTTTAACCCAAGTGAGCCACTGGGAGAAACTCCTCGTTTTCTGCTGAACGTCGGCAGACGATCAACAAACACGGGTACCCGAGTGAGGAAGGGTATGTAACCTCTGCGTGAGGCTATTGTCTGACACACACACCACACACACAAATCATACCAGGTGCATTACACAGTAAATAAAGACAGTCCAAGCACACAGACAAGCAGAGCGCGCCCACGACAGACAGTTTATAATGATACAAAGCTGCTATTTTTGTCACAAATTAAACAAAAGACCAAATTTATACTTAAAGCTGCTGTAGGTAACTTTTATGTATTAACTCAGTAGACTATGAGACAGATAATCTGTGAAAAAAAATCAAGCTTCTCTGGCTCCTCCCAGTGGTTCTATTGCCATTTACAGAAATACACCGCTCCTGGTCAGAAACAACCAATCAGAGCCAGGAGGAGTGTCTTAGCAGTGTCAATCACGCTCATGCGCTGATCACACTCCTCTCTTGCACAGTGCATACCGTCTTTCAAACTCAAGATTGTCAGTGTACTGCAGTTATGCTTGTTCAGATTTTCAGGCTAAGGTTTTCAGGTCAACGTTTTCTCAAAACCTCCTACTGCAGCTTTAAATTTCCTCAGCCATCTCAGATTTTAGTCAGAACAAGAAATTACATACATCAGCTCACAAACCCCATCTTTTGTTTAAAGGGGACCTACTATGCAATATTCACTGTTTTTGTATTGGCAGTGTGTAGACAACCAGTGATAAAAATCTACGCACTCCTTTATTTTTTATCACTATAAATCAAGCAGAGTCTCAGAACAAGCTGACGTCACATTGCACAGGCTACCCCCACGACTGTCGACGGACTCTGCCGTATTAGCTCCCCGTCCTCCTAAGTGTTGCACACTGTCTGCCTTTGACAATACAAAACACAGGTTTTGTAAAAAAGTTGTTGCTCAAGGATGGATCAGTACCAACTGTTCATGATCCAGTTTATAGTCCCCGGAGTGATACTGGTCACGGCAGTAATGAAAAAAGGGAGAGCGCACACTTTATTAAAATTCATCAACCCCCAGAAAAAGGGATACTGTCTGTATATACACCGCTACTGACAGTTTCTGACATTGTTAGTGTGTGAGATTGTCCTGTTTTGTTGTTGCATGAGCTCTTGAAGCTCCGCCCTCTTCTACCAGCTCATTTGCATTTAAAGGAACACACACAAAAGTGGCAATTTGAACAAGCTATAAAAAATTATCTTTGGGGGCTGTTGAGCTAAAACACATAAACTTGTAAAAAAAATGGCATAATAGGTCCCCTTTAAAGTTTCACTTTCATTATTTTTTTATTTTTATTTTTTTCAAAAACCACTATCAACATTTTTCAAATGTAAATAAAATGAGACAGGGAGTTCCCTGCAAGTCCCTTCCCCGCAAGTTCAGATCCTTCCACAATCTTCTTTTTAACATAATGTAAATAAGTTTTTTTTCCACATCACGCTGCATTACGTCAAACTCATATTAACTCACATATAGCTGCCTTCTGGGGCCAACCTTAATATTCCCTTTTTTCTGTTTTTCTTTGTTGTTTGTTTGTTTTTTTACTTGTTTCTTCCACCACTGTACATGCCTGTGGTCTGTCTCTATGTTTGTACCTCCTTCCATCTCTCCTTCTCTCCCGTCTTCCTTATGCTACCTGATTGGCTCATAGCCGGAATGTTCTCAGGGAGGTCAGGGGCGGAGCCGGCCGGCCCGACGCATGGCACACAGGGTTACCCACTCCTGCAGCTAGGCTGGGCGCACAGCCCAGAAGACGGCCATGCCAGGGTCACCACCTGATACCCATCCATGTTTCCCTGTCTAACACAATAGCGTTCAAATCGCTCACAGCAGCCTTAGATAAATAAAAGGCCCCTACATGCTATGTAGCTTCACAGGTTGTCAATTAACATCACCAGATGTAGTGATATTAAGACCAACACGTTTTCATATAATCTGACACCACTGTGTAGTTTTTACATAGACTTCAGATTGCATACAGAGTTAACTTTCCACAGCAATTACACCACTTACAACGACAACATAAACCTGCGATTTCTGATCACATTCAAAAGATTTTCTGCTACCACCCACCAATTTGTCACGTGACAATTTTCTAACCAGTTACGTTGTCTGTCTGTGTCTTATGACATGTTGCTCTGTGTGAGCATGCTCTGTTTGACTCCAGATCTTACTTACTGCCAAAAGCACCACAAGATCATGACCAAGCAAAACTACACACACTGTTCCCAACAAATATGTTTCTTTGTCTTTGTGTTTTATATATGTTGTGTAAGTTTCTGAGTGTTTTTAGTGTGTGTGTGTGTGTGTGTATGTGCGTGTGCATGCTTTTTCGGAGTGCCGTTTTTTTTCTGTAGCATTACGTTGTGCATGTGTTGGGACAGTCCTACGGTCCTTGCCGCAATCTATCCTGATGCCTGTATGGTATTGGATGAGAAGTGAAGACTTGGTTTTGCACAAAGGCAAATCATATGATGAGATGATGTATACACCACTGACATGTGTGACACCCTCTTTCATTTTGATTCAAAACTCGCAATGAGCCATTAGTGGAGAAATGTGATAAGCAACAACAACAAAAAAAAAAATGCTTTATTTTTAATAAAAAGCTTCTGATTTCAAATTCTGTACATATTATTACGAAATTAAAACAATCATGTAAACTGATAATTTATTTTATTCCTACTAGTTGTAGCACAAAAAATAAGCGAAAATGAATGAACATCAGAGAGGGTTTGATACGGCACAATTTATCAGCATCATCTCTCAAGTGAACGCCCATTAAAATGTTTTAAGATATCAACAAAACAACTCGATGATGATAGATGGTCCGTATCTTGCTAGAAAAAAAATATTTTAAATCATAAATATATTCAATATATTCAATGTATTATAAATGCATTATGTTTTTGTGTTACTAATATCTTAATTGTTTAATTTATGTTTGAATAAATGTCTAATTCAGGAAAAACACGTTTAAAAAGAAACAGGTTTTTATGACAGCCACCATTTATATAATTGTAATTATAGCATTTGAAAGCAAAGAATTTTCGTTTTTCATAATGCATATACTCAAAATGACATCATTTAAACTAAGGAAAAGTGCCTGAAACTGAGGGACTGACCCTGACAAATCAATTCTCAGTTGCCTTAATTTCAAATTTATGAGTTAATTTGAATTTCTAAATCAACAAATCTGCAAATTGCTAAATTCTACTTGAAACTTTTGCCTTGCAAACCACAGCCTTCTTTGCTCACTCTAATGCCAGACTAACCAACCGATCTTTGTGCATGCCCTCACCCAGAGATTACATGCAATCTTAAACCCTTTAAACCTGACCCAAAGCAGCAAACTGACAGATGTCAAGATGAAACGTCTCGGGTTATGACTATAACCCTTGTTCCCTGAGAAGGGAACGAGACACTGCGTCGATAAAATCGACTCTTTGGGGACGCTCCCTAAGCGTGCGCCTCTGAAGTATGAATGAAACTAATCCAATCCTGATTGGTGTTGCGTCGTGACGTAACATGTGACGGCATACCCGGAAGTATAAAAGTGACGCTGTCACAACACACACTAGCCTCGCGATGAAGCAAGACGCTCAAGGGTCTGAAAAGGGGGCGTGGCAACACGACGCAGTGTCTCGTTCCCTTCTCAGGGAACAAGGGTTATAGTCATAACCCGAGACGTTCCCTATCGAGGGAACTCAACACTGCGTCGATAAAATCGACTCTTTGGGGAACGAGTACCCACTAGGCCACGCACCGAACAGACCCGCCCCAGAGTGAAACTGATTAGGCACTCAGCAAGGGCCGAGTACGTGTGCACCGGGCGTACTGGGAAGGCTGAGACTGTAAAACCTGATGAAAGTATGCGGGGTAGCCCAGCCGGCTGCCTCACAAATCTCCTGCAGAGGTACTCCCGACAGAAGGGCCCTAGAGGAAGCCATGCCTCTAGTCGAGTGAGCCCTTAAGGCCAAAGGTGAAGGAACCCCACGCACCTTGTAAGCCTCAGTAATAGCCTGGACAATCCAGTTACTTATAGTTTGTTTGGTCGCCGGGAGCCCCCTCTTAGGTGACCCAAAGCATACTAACAACTGGTCAGATCTTCTCCAAGAAGCAGACTTTTCCAAGTATACACTCAAAGCTCTGACGGGGCAGAGCAAGTGAAGCCTCTCTTCTCCCGCCGACACATGAGGTGGAGGATGGAATGCCTGAAGGACTACAGAGCGAGCCGTACTCGAAGGAACTTTAGGCACGTAGCCCGGACTCGGGTGCAAAAAGGCCTTTACTTTGCCAGGGGCAAACTCCAAGCAAGCTGGCGTTACCGCCAGGGCCTGGAGATCTCCCACCCTCTTAAGAGAGGTAATCGCTAAGAGAAAGACCATTTTCAACGTTAAGTCCTTAGGCGAAGCCGACTCTAAAGGTTCGAAGGGAGCGAGGGACAACCCTTCCAGAACTATTGCCAGATCCCAGGCAGGCACCCTGGACCTGATCGCCGGCCTCATCCTCCAAGCACCACGGAGAAACCTAATGACCAACTGGTGCCTCCCCAGAGGTCCACCATCTACTGGCGCGTGGAAAGCCGAAACGGCAGCCACGTACACCTTAAGAGTGGACGGGGAGAGACCCGCAGAGAAACGATCCTGAAGGAATTCCAGAACTGAAGCCACTGGGCAGTTTACTGGATCCAACCTTCGTTCTCCACACCAAGTGTGAAACACCTTCCACTTGAGGCCATATAATCTCCTGGTAGATGGGGCCCTAGAGCTAAGTATGGTTTCAACCACCTCAGCTGATAAGCCAGCATTTAGGTACTGAACCCCCTCAGAGGCCAGACCCACAGCTTCCACAACTCTGGGCGAGGGTGGAAGATTGTGCCCTCCGCCTGAGACAATAGATCCCTCCTCAGAGGAATCGGCCATGGCGGAGCTATGAGGAGTGATATTATATCCGAGAACCATACTCGTGTCGGCCATCTCGGGGCAACCAGAAGTAGACTGATGCCCTCTTGACGGACCCTCTCCAGGACCCCTGGGAGCAGAGCGATCGGGGGGAAAGCATACAGGCGAAGCCTCGGCCAAGCCTGTACCATGGCATCCAACCCCAGTGGGGCTGGATGTGAGAGGGAGAACCAAAGTGGACAGTGGGACGTCTCTCGAGACGCAAACAGATCCACTTCCATCGGTCCGAACCTCTCCCATATCGACTTCACCACATCCGGATGAAGTCTCCATTCCCCGGGCCTCAGCCCCTGCCTCGACAGGATGTCTGCTCCCCGATTCTGAACCCCTGGGATATACATTGCCCTTATTGACAATATCTTTCCCTGGGACCAAAGGATAATCTGATGCGCCAGTTTGCACAGAGGGCGCGATCTGAGTCCCCCCTGTCGGTTCAGATAGGCCACCACTGACGTATTGTCTGTCCGTATAAGGACGTGGCGACCCTCGATGTCTGGGAGGAAGCTCCTCAAAGCCTTGAATACCGCCATCATCTCCAGGCAATTTATATGCCAAGTGCGATGATGGTCCTGCCACAGACCCCTGGTAAAGCGGCCGTCCATGACCGCGCCCCAGCCCGTAAGGGAGGCGTCTGTCGAAACGGTTTCCCGGCGACATGACACCCCCAACACTGGCCCTTGGGATAGGAACCAAGGCTTCTTCCATATTTGCAGAGACTGAAGGCACTTGCGCGTTACTCTGATCATACGGAACGGATTTCCTTTGGGTGAGAACCCCTTGGTCTTCAACCACCACTGGAGGGGCCTCATGTGAAGGAGGCCCAGAGGAATAATGTTGGATGCCGCTGCCATGAGGCCCAGCATCCTTTGAAAGTGTTTCACAGTGACGGCCTGACCTAGCCTCACCCTGGACACCATCGCCAGAATTGACTCGATACGTGCGGGAGACATACGTGCCTGCATTGTAATCGAGTTCCACACGACTCCCAAAAAGGTCGTGCCCTGGGACGGTTCTAGCACACTCTTCTTCAAATTGAGTCTTAACCCCAATTTTTGAATATGGCCAAGAACGACATCTCGATGCCGAACTGCCATCTCCCGAGACTGGGCCAAAATAAGCCAGTCGTCGAGATAATTCAATACGCGAATCCCCTGAAGTCTCAGTGGAGCAAGGGCCACGTCCATACACTTGGTAAATGTGCGGGGAGAGAGTGCTAGGCCGAACGGAAGAACCCGATATTGGTATGCTTCGCCCCCGAAAGCGAACCTCAGGTACCTCCTGTGACAAGGAAGGATGGAGATGTGAAAATAGGCGTCTTTCAGATCTATCGTGACAAACCAGTCCTCGGATCTGATTTGACTCACGATTGTTGGAATGGTCAACATTCTGAATTTGAACCTTCTCAGAGACCGGTTCAACACCCTGAGATCCAAAATTGGCCTTAACCCCCCATCCTTCTTTGGAACTATAAAGTACCGGCTGTAAAACCCGGACTCCCTGTCTACCGGAAGAACACGTTCTATGGCTCCTTTCGACAGCAGAGTCTGTACTTCTTGTTCCAACACCTGAGCCTGCTCTGGGACCACCGCAGTGAGCACCACCCCAGAGAGCTTGGGGGGGCGGTGCGCGAACTGCAGTCTGTACCCAACTCGTATTATCTGCAGGACCCATGGAGATATGTTGGGAAGATGATACCATCCCTCTACAAAATCTGCTAAGGGTACCAGCCTCTCGAGGCTGGCCTCTGGTGTCTTTTCGCTGGAAATTGATGCGGCCCGAAGCGCTGTTAACGGCGGACCTGCATCTTTTCCTAGAGGGCCCCGTTGTGAGAACAACCTCGGTTGTCTCACTGCGGAGGGGGCAGCCCTCTGAAGTCCTGCCTTGGCTAGGACCTCTTTCCCTGTGGGAGGAGCTGGCTGATGGCTGGGGCTGATTGCTTTGCCCCCCCCTACTAGATTTGGCCTTCGCTTTCCGGGGGAGGTACTGCTGGAACGCCGCAGATTGTTTTCTCGACTCCTGAAACCTGTCGACAACCGAATTAACGGCGTCGCCGAACAGGCCAGAAGCCGAAAGCGGCGCATCCAGCAGGAAGGACCTATCCTTTTCTTTAATACCGGATAAGTTCAGCCACAGATGCCTCTCCGTGGCCACCATGGCCGCCATAGAGCGGCCAATAGCGCTGGCCGCTTCCCTAGTGGCCCGGAGAGACAAATCTGCGGCCTTCCTCAACTCCGCGACATCTTCAGGAGTAGGCCCCTCCCCCTCATCCAAATCTTTCAGTAAGGTCGGCCTGGTATGCCTGCAAAATCGCCATTGAGTGCAGACACGAACCAGCCCGACCCGCCGCCATGTAAGCCCTGCCCACCAATGCAGATGTCTCTCTGCAGGGCTTACTAGGCAACACCGGGGTCTTTAGGGAAGACGCCGATTCGGGAGAGAGATAGCTCGCTAAAGCCTCCTCCACCTTCGGCATCTTCCCATATCCCATATCTCGAGCCCCCATAACATTGCTGTAATCTATTACATTGGGACTCGAAATACGGGACGAATGCGGTCTTTCCCACGTTCTCGAGATCTCTTTATGGAGATCAGGGAAAAACGGCAGACCCCGGCGGTGAGGCTGTGACCTGCGCTGCAGGTAACGCTCGTCCATTTTACTGGTGACTTGCGTTTCCTGCTCATGTTGTGGCCAGCTGATGTTTAGTCTGGCCACAGCGCGTGTCACAACCTCCACCAGCTCCTCATAACCCAGGCCGCGTGATGGCGTGCTGAGATCACGGTCGTCCGCATCGATGCTGAGCACGTCCCCTTCCTCAGAAGTAGACAGCTCAAGCACCGGGACCTGATCGCGGGTAGGAGAAACCGCAGCGCGGGCTCCCACACCACTCTCAGAGGCTGCGGGACCAGCCGATGGCGAGCGAGAAAATGCCTCAGCATTCTCACTCTCCTCCGCCAGATCCCGCTGCGAACCCCAGGATCTCAGTCGCCGCATCGCCTCGACATATGCGGGACCGGAACCCTGGGGAACGCGAGCCTGACCGTGCTCGTCAAAGCACGCCAGCCGGGAGCGCAGCACTCTAATAGGCAAAGCCTCACACATTTCACAAGCAGCCCCCTCGAGAGCTGCCCGTGCGTGCTGCACTCCCAAACAATACACACATAGAGAGTGTGCGTCCCCACCCGTGATGAAACGAGGGCAGGGATGCACACACCTCTTGAATTGTTCACTGGCCATACTTTCTTTCAATAATAAGACAAACAACACCAAATAAGACAGACAGTTTCAACATAAAGCGCTTGCTGAAGAGCGAAAGCTAGTGTGTGTTGTGACAGCGTCACTTTTATACTTCCGGGTATGCCGTCACATGTTACGTCACGACGCAACACCAATCAGGATTGGATTAGTTTCATTCATACTTCAGAGGCGCACGCTTAGGGAGCGTCCCCAAAGAGTCGATTTTATCGACGCAGTGTTGAGTTCCCTCGATAGGGAACCTTTGAATCTCAGCAACTGGCATGTGCACATTTCTCTCCACTAAACCAAGGTTATCAAAAGTCCCGAAGCCTGGGCACCATAACCAGCAAGGCCCGAACACTGGCCGAGGTAGTATCGATGTCCACCCGGTCCTGCAGCCCACCTGTTCTCTTACGGAGGTCCCATTCTCCAATCCCCTCCATTCTCTAAGAAATGGAGCAGTGATATAGTTAGAGTTGTCTCCCTGGGTCTTCTTCCTGCCCTGCTGCTTTCTCTTCTGTGTTTGCTTTGGTCTGGATTGTCTTGTTCTCTGGTCCTTGTCTTCTGGAGCTGTCTCCTCCTCTCCTCTTCTGTCCACTTTGCTTGTTTCTTGTCTTTCCATATACAGAATCTTGACTCACACAAAGCCATTAGAGAACGAAAACTTCCAAAACATCTCAGGGAAATTTTAGGGACGAGTGTTTATTAGACATAAAAGAACTGGGATGAGGAAGGTAAATTTTTTTTTTTAGATTTCCTCTCCTGTCCGAGTATATTCTTGCATAAAACCCTTTCTGACATCTGGAAGACGAAACAATCTATCCTCTATCGGGTTTTTTTTAGTTTCCCCATTTAATTTTTACTGTACTTCCCCTTTGCTCTGGAGTCTTGCTCCCTTCTTTCTTTATCACCTCTTTAATGAGACCCCAGGTAGGAGGTATTATGACTCCCCTTTTCTTTCCTCCGCTGTCAATGACAAATGTCTCTACTTCCTTAGCAATTCTTTCATTCTCCCTGTGCATTTCTGTCCATTTCTCTTTCTCCAAACTTTTTAGCCCTGGATTGCAAAAGCAACCCAAATGAATGTTTTTACCATACAGAAAAAAAGGAAGTCTTATTTTCTCAGCCCATTTCTTCATTCTGTAAGCTGAATGAAAACAAGGCCCAATGGCTGGATGACCCTGAGCAATCCCATCCTCCCCTGTATTTTCTACTGCAGATCCATGCAAAGAGGACACTGCCCTAGTTAAGTATATGCAGTCAGAGGTGCTTAAAGTGACCTGAGAAGGCAGGAGCATCTCAAACCTTCTCCAGCCTTGCTGGACTCCACAATGGCCCAAGGGATTTCGGACTGGAATCCAAAGGAGGGACGTATATGTAGAGGGGGAAAAGAGCACAATAGAGGATGTTGCCAGTCGACGCAGTGGCAAACATTTTTGATTTAGATTCCGACAGTGTGAGTGGTCTCATGGACCAGGACTTTTATAAGGAAGACCTTAAGGACCATCAACTGCAGAGTGACACGAATGGTTGGCTTTAAAGCCAGCAAAATTAGTATATAATCCTAATACTAATGATAGTACCTGCAGTGGCAGATGTAGTGGACTCTTACCTGTTCATTTTAGCATGAGCTGCATGGTGTTACATTAAAAAAAGAGGAAAATAATCTATATCTGTTATGAATTTCTGTATAAAACAAATATTTTCTTTCAAGAGTTCTTGACTTTTGCAGAATTAACATGTAGCCATGGATGATGAGATTTTCAGAAACCATGTTCTTTGTTTCAGCAACAGATTTCTTTCATGTTATTCTGTCTTTGTTGCTAACCACATGACTCAGCTCTGGTCACATTGACCTCACATTCTGAATGAGACGCAGTGGTTACTGCCATGAGATGGATTGTAAATTCCACTATTCAACATTATTTCTGTCTGGCATGCTTGTGATTCTGGATCTTATAGAGAAAAAACAAAAACAAAAACTGAGCAAAATGAGTTATTTTTCTGTTTCATGTCATAATTATCAGTGAATAGATCCTGTGGAAAACTGTTGTGCGCAGCTGTTTATTTCACATATCAAGTGCAGACTTTTGACAGTGTTATTTTTGGAGAAAAAACATCAAAAATAAGAAAAAATGGCATCCTGTCGAGATGTTTTACATTTTCTCTCATTACTTTTAGGTACTAAAACACAAAGAAAAGCAAAAAAGACAGATGTATATTTACATTATAAGAGAATTGTATGCAATTGAGAACTTTGGGGGAAAACAAATGCATGCACTGTTATGCAACAATAACTGCATAGAAAAACAATCATAGCATGAAATAAATTTTGTATGAAACTTGTTAGAGTGCTTGGGGTTTTTCTTTCATTGATTGCTGTGGAATGTATCTTTCATTGGATGATGTATATTTCATTGGATCGATACTCTCTTTGACCTGAAGTTGACAGGCACAAAGAGCTAGATTGGAAGGTCTTTGATGCCAGTGAAAAGGGTGTCTCCAGGTGGAGCAGCATGGCAGACTGCACTGATGAGCATGCTGATGAATTAAACCATTAACATTTGAAGGAAACAATGAAACACCTGCATGTTGTGAACAAGTTGAAGTTTTTGAACAAATGGTGTCAGCATACACTCTGCTCAATGAAGTATGATGCTAAAGCCTGCCTTTACGCCTGCTGAACGTGCCTGCTAGCAGACCGCATTTACGTCACCCTCTTCATCCCTTCTTCCTACTTCTCCTGACCCTTTCCATATCTCCTCTGCGCTGGCTCGCAAGTCATCCTGCACCCTCTTCACCCGTCTTTGTTTTCTAGGTGTCTGGGTAATAACTCGTCTGTTGTCTCTCTTCTTTTTCATGTCTGTAGAGGCTTCCCGGCAGGGCCGGCACAAACCGCCTGCAGAATCTGTGTGTGTCATGAATCGTGGTGTTCCAACCACTGTGTGCATGGCCCAGAACACCTCTCCCACTTCCTGATAGCTCTCTATAAGTCTGTTTGTTGTTTACGAATAGGTGGACGACCCGTTTTGACACATTTAAATGTATTTCAGAGGGACATGTTTGTTGGAGGCTGATAGTATTGTCAACTTGTAGTGGTGTAAAATGTGTATTTGAGTGCATGGGTGTTCAATTTGTGTTTGTACTGTAAATATGCTTTTTGTGTTGCCCACGCTTGCAACTGAATATTTAGACTGGTATCTAGTAATCTTTACAGGGTTATAAGTCAAACCTATCCATTAACTTCTTTTTTTTTTTTTTTTTTTTTGGTGTGTGTGAATCACAACAAATACTCACAAAGCTGCATTTAAATTAGAATGGGCTCAAACTAATGATGTTGTTTTTCTATTGTGTTATAAGTCATCAGTTGCCTTACTTTGCTGTTTGCACTTCGGAACTCAACAATACGAATATTTGTTGCTGGCCCCATCACGGATAAAGGTTATTTTTAGTAACATTATTAAATGTGTTAGAAAAACATATTTGAACATTATATTCGGTTTATACTCGTTACTTTAAAGGGATATCTCGCGCCAAAATTAAATCTCTGTCATCATTTACTCACTGTCATGTTGTTCTAAAGCTGCATGTCTTTTAAAAGAAATTTTAAAGAATGCTGGTGGTAACCAAACCGTTTTTTCCCCTTTGACTTACATTTTTTGCTCATATAATGGAAGTCAATGGGAATCAAATGAGTTGACAATATTCTTCAAAATATCTCATTTTATGTTCTATAGAAAAAAAGGAATGGAATACAGGTTTGGAATGACAGAAAAGTAAATTATGATAGAATTTTCATTTTTAAGTTCATTAGCAGCTTTTTTTTTTTTTTTTTTTTTTTTTTTTGAATTTGCAACAATGTTCAGTGCATTCAGTACAAGGTTTGGAAGACAAAAAATCTGGCCCGACTAGAATCTGACAACTGAACCTAAACTATTTCACTCTAGCCTTGTTCCTTACTCTTGATTCATGTGTTCGCTCAGGTTATAAATGTAGTTAGTGGACCATTTGTATCTTGAGTCGGTAATTTTGCAGTATATTATAATGTTCTTAATCCCTTTCTAACACTTTCTTTTCCCAATCCCAGCAAGGACATACACTCCAGTGAAAGTGAGAGGTTATTTAAACAAAGTGAGATTCTGTCTTGTCAAACAGAAAGTGAACTGCACTGGTTGAATCATGCAGCAGAAACTATTCAGTTGATGTGTCAAAATGTGCAAGACATTTTAACCAACCATTCACTATATCTATATCCAGTTTGAAGTGAACTCACTGCCAATTAGTTTTCTATGGAGTTTTTACAATCTACAGGTAGGTAAACTATTGACAAGTAGCAATACTTCCACAGAACCTTTGCAGCAAATGCTATGATCTATAATGATATCAAGATAGACACTACAATTTTTTTTTATTTAAAACAATCTCAAATTTTCATAAATAAATATCATCTGTCTTTTTATAATTTTTTTGTACATTATAGCACAAATCTACTTTTTAAATTGAGTGGTTCTCTCTACACGGAAAAGAAGCTCACACACAGATTAATATATTTATATTTTAAGAACAATGGTTGACCCTAAATCTGTCACCAAGCATTTTTATGTTTGTAAATATTACACTAATTCCAGTAATATATTATATGTTATAATATGTAGCTAAACTTTGCAAGGTAATTCTTAGGAAAATTTTCCTCCCACCCGGTAGATACTGTACAATCTGCATTTGTTAGGTGGATAAAGAGTTGTTATTAATGAATGCAAATATTATGCAACTAAAAACAATATCTGCATGATACTTACACAATGAGCTAAATATAACCGAATTCTGTTTAGTTGATGCATCAAAGGCTTTTTTACGCTTCAAACAGATTATCGTTTTTGTTGTTTATAGCGGAGTTATCTGCTTGTCAGAAAGGCTGCATTATGATAACCTACTATTTAGTAAACCAACTAAATACTTTCAGGGGAACCTCTAATGATTTCAGTTAAGTTCAGTTCAATTCAATTTTATTAAGATCCCTTTTGGGCAATTTGGATGCAGCATAGTAGACATAAAATACACACCACAATATAAAATATAACAAATAAGAACTGTACATATAAATCTAAAACACTAATGTTTACTATTCAGAATATTTAAACGTATGATTGCACAGGGGACAAAATAATGATTGTTTGTATTAATTGCTCTTCATCTTTGGTAGTCTGTAGCAAGAGCCAGAGGGCAGAATAGAGAACTCTGGGTGCAAAAAATGGTCACTATCTAAGAGCACAGATTGAGCACAGTTAATGACATTTCTGTTAAAGTGCCCCTATTATGGTTTTTCGAATATTCTCTTTCATACAGTGTGTAATATAGCTGTTTGTGAATGTAAACATTCTGCAAAGTTGTAAAATCGAAAGTGCACGATAAATAAAGTTATTGTCTCCCAAAAGAAAGATTCGACTCTGCCATTATGAGTCATTTTTCATACGAATCCTACTGCTTTACGATTCTACGTCACTAGAAGATACATTTCCATAATGCCCGCCTATGTTGTACGCTGTCCGTCCGTGAAACGTCATTTCACTGACGGTTGTAAAAAGTTCAACACGGAGTGCTTGCTCTTGCTCTCTACCCAGTTTATTTGGACCAGCTTGCTCCTCAGAATCACAACCTGTAAGTATGAATAATTATTGATGTATATATTTTCTACCGGGTGTTCAAAATACTTAGTTCCCTTTTGTTGTCACTTCGAGTTACATCGAATGACGACGAAATGGGGTTCGCTTCGAAGAATCTCATCTTCGAAAGAAATAAAACGAGCCAATGGCAAGTAAATGCCATGGGTCTGCGGAATTTGCATGGCGTAACTTTTATACCATGTGGGTATAAAAGGAAGGATGGCGGAACGTGCAGATATGTTTTCGCTTCGGAGCCAAGAAGTTCACTCTTCACTCCTGCAGCCTATTCTCTGACTATCTTCGAGAATCTTTAAGACAAGCATTCCTGCCTGCTGAAATTAACTGCGTGTGTGTTTCTCCCTGGGCGCTGCGAGCTTTTCTCTCATAAAAAGATTATGCATGCGGCACGTCTGTCTAAAGAAGATCTGCCTGTGTATTTCTGAGTGCGGTATTCTGATAGATTCAGCTGATGGACATGAGCGCTGTTTTGACATGTTTGGGCTTTGATCATGCTCAAACAGCGTTTGTGGATGTGCCACATTCTCCCAGCAGGAACATCACCATTGCAATGTAACGATTGAGACTCGATGAGCTCAATAGAGCGAGAGTCCCCTCATCCAAACCCCTATCTATTTTCTCCAAGCGAAATAATACTTTGACTGGTGGCCAGGGTGACCTAAGAGTCAGGTCTGGAACTAAACTGACGAAATATCCTCGGTCCACACCCCGTCTTTCACACTGCACCCGTGCGGTTCTGAATGAGTTTGCTGACCAGAACCACGGCAGGCCCGGCATCTCATTCGGTTCCCCAGCTGAGGAAATCATGTATATTGCTGCATCACAAGGTGAGCTGGAGTCCTCTGGAGATGCGGGCTCGTCTGTGCTGCTGTCCTCGGGTGTGCTAGCATGACGAGTCTGATCCAGAGTTGACAGCTATGCTTTTCCTGGCCGCCGCGAGTATCGGGCTTGTGTGGAACCATCCACCATGTCCCAAGCACTTAAGGCTGATTATTTTTTTTGGGGAGGGACCCAAATCCCTTCTACCCGGACGTGCATGAAGAGGTCATGAAATCGTGGGAGTTTCCTCAGCAGCCTCTTCCGCCTTCTCTGCCCTCCCAGAGGCCTTGGCCAAGGGTACACTGGGGTTGCCCCCGTTGAGTGTTCTATGGCAAACATATCTGTGTCCCCACAGTGCCTCCACCTGGTGTGGCGACCCTAAGCACCCCACCAATGCTTGTAGGTTTTTTTTCTTCTCCGGTGGGAAAGACCTATAGAGCAGCGGGGCAGGCTGCAACCTCACTGCATGTTATTGCCATCCTTCAGGGTGCTCAATGACATGCACGAGGGAAGGGCTGATTGAGGGCTCATCCAAGAGCTGCCTGCCGTCACAGACCTTGCTCTACAAGCGACGAAGGTGACCGCACGCTCCCTGGGTCAGGTGATGTACACATGCGGGGTCAGACATCTCTGTCTTTACCTGGTTGTTATGCGCGACCTGCTTCCTCAACTCTCCCATATCCCAAGCTGGCCTCTTCGGCGGTGTGGTCGAGGACTCTGCCCAACAGTTCTCGGCTGCTCAAAAGCAGACTGAGTCTACCAAACATGTTCTGACCCCACGACCAGCTGCTGCCACCCAGCCGCTGGCTCAGGCGCCTCAGTCGGCTTGCAGCCAAACGCGCCCTCCTGCGACTTCCGCATCCTCCCACTCGGCCCTAGCAGCACTGAGGAAGGCGCCCCTGCCCATTCCAGAGGGCATGGATGGCAGTGTGCATGGCTTATGAGCCTTGCCACTCTTGTCCCTCTCTGTCACCAGACTCCTGACAGAGCAGGCCCCAGTGGAACACTGGTCTTCTGTCAGGATGCCGCATATGGCCCTACATCGGGACACTCCACCTCCCACGTCTGGGCCGGTCATTCTGCCTTGCTGCCGCATCGTGGATACATCTGTGGTTCACATGACCCCGCTGGTTCAGTTTTGGAGCTTCCAGTCTGTCCCATTGTCTCACGAGAATCATCAGGCTCAGCTTTGCAATTCAGTTCCCGCTCCGAGGAATCGGCTATACCATGGTGAGTGGCAATGCCCCTGTCATGAGTACAGAGGTTGTCAACCTACTGGCGAAGGGTAGGATGGAGACCACCCCTCAAGCTGAAATAAAGTACAGCTTCTTCAGCCCCAACCTCATTGTACCCAAGAAAACCGGTGGGTTCGACCAATCCTGAACCTGTCTTGAACTGCTCCCTCCTAAAAAGGCTTCCGTTCAAGATGCTCACAGCCAAACGCATTTTCGAATGTGTGATGCCACAGGATTGGTTTGCATCGATTGACCTGAAGGACACCTAATTCCATGTCTCCTTTCGTCCTCGACACAGAGCGTTCCCTTGTCCATTCTTCCTGTCTACGCGGCTTCCTGACTACGCGGCTTGCCCTGTCTCCTCGCACCTTCACAAAGATCGTCAAGGCACCCTTTCGCAAACTTTGCCCCGTGCAGAGGATCTATTTTCTCTGTATGTAAATTGACTCGGTCACTGCTGACTTGCCTTAGACAGTTCGAGGGAAATAGTACGGTTCCACTGAAGTTATTTCAAAGGCTCCTGAAGCATATGGCATCCACATCCGCACTCGGATTGATATATAAGAAAATTAAACTGTTTTTTTTTTCTTTACTTTTGATGCATGTAAACCTGTTGTAGGAGACCTCTAAAACAAAATTTAAAATAGCATAATAGGGGCACTCTAAATAAAACTGACAGACTTCTTTATTTGTTCCCTATAATCTTCCCACAGTTAGTAACAATCCTGTGTTAGGGCATTCTTATGTTTCACATTAAAATTCAATTCCCAAACCAGCAACTAATGGAGAAGGACAGTACTGAGTAAAACGGTTCAATCAGTGTCTTGTCTTAGATACATTTAGCTACAAAAAAGGATCATTATACCATTTCAAAAAGTCATCAACAACTGGACCATGACAAATGTTATTATTTTCCAAGAGACTCACAATGACTGTGTCATCTGCAGACTTTAAGAAATACCTGTTGTTGTACTTATTTGTACAATGATTTGTATATAAGATATATAATAAAGGAGACAAATCACAACTTTGTGGAGAACTCGTAGATGTTGTCAAGGAAGCAGATAAACTGCCATTTACTAACACACTCAGATTTCTTTCAGCCAACCAACTAAATTAATTGATCAAGACTAAAGTTTGTTATTAACTTATCTGCTAAAATATGATGCTGTATGATATTAAAAGCAGATGATAAATCAATAAATAAAAGCTTAAAATGTGTGTTGCTACCTGACAAATTATGCAATACCCTGTTTAGTAGGCCAAGTGCATGTGTGGCCTTGTGTGTATGAGTACAGGGGTGGGTTTTCTGTTTGAGTGTATGTACCCCCATCTTTGCTCTGCGGCTGAGCTTTGATCTTTTCAGACACTGTAGCAACCTAGTTACCTAATAGGGACTGTAACCATAGCAACACAAGTATGTGATCAGCTTTCAAGGGCAGCATTTCTCCCATGCCTCCCTGCTATGGAAGTAAAATAATGACAAATGTTTTTAAACAAAAAAGCTTGTTGATTTGAAAAAAATTAACCCTGCTTGCATTTTTATGGCCTTAAATTTCTGGCGCATTTACATTTTGAGTGTAAACAAAAAATGTCAATTGATGTGCATTGTCCCTTTTTAATAAATAATAATAATAATAATAATAATTCAACATGGTTGTATATTATTAATTCAATAATCCATATTCACCTTTCAGATTTCACTTCAAAAATATTCTTTCAATTTAAAAATACAACCTATAATATTCAACAGGCAATTTTCGATCCATTTTATTTCACTTTACAAACACAAATTCAGTGGTTCTAATTCTAATTCTTATTTTCTACCTTATATTGGCAAAAGAAACACATCCTATATTTCTTAACATTTCTACCCCTCCCCCAGTATAATATCAGTAGATTGCCGATTGATAATTTCCATAGCTGTTAATTGATCTCGCCAGCATGGGGTGCAAGCGGCTGTTGACGAAAATAACTAAAGAGCAACGGGTGAGAGAGTCATTCATAAAAACGGATTTACAGAAATGGAGAAAGCCTAAACTATTGTGATAAAGATCACATGTGATGAATTTTCTGTCGAATTTGAACAACTGAATTTGTAAAGCGAAAATAAAATCAACTGAACATTGCCTGTCAAATGTTATAGGTTGTATTTTTAAAAGCAATACTTTTGGAAGTGAAATCTGTAAGGTGAATATGGATTATTATTATTATGTGTGAAATATTTTAGACTGATCTCATGAAATAGCAATTTGTATTTCCATTTTTGGTGTGCTATCAACACGCATAATCGAGTGTCTATATGCACGTTATGACCATTGACTAAACGTTAAATTACTGTATATATAAATATATGACCTACCCCAACCCCATCCCTAAACAAACCCGTCCCAGGGGTTAATAGCATTTATGAGTCTTCCCCTATACCATCCTAGGATAAAAAACATTACTCCCCAGATGTAGATCTACATTTTGCTTCGTTTCGCTCGGACATTTAATGGCGTGTACATACACACAGAATCACTCAAAATGCTTATAGATAACACGCCATTTGACCTGAATGTGGTATGTTTACGCAAAAGTCATGATGTCATGTTGCGAATTACAACCATGTTGAATTTCAACCCATAAAAATCCAAGCAGGGTTAATGCAATTTTTTTCAAGTAGTGCAATTAAACTATAGCTTTTTGTTTCGACAACATATTTTACTTCCATACCCTGCTGCATGGTTACAATTGTCCGTGCAATTTGGGTCCACAATTCATCAGACATGTTTAAACATCAGAAAACAAAGTTCTTCATATAATTATCACTGGTGCTTTTCTGGTCAGTAACGGTATCATTACAATCTGCTGCATCTACATAGATCCATAAACAAAACTAGACCTGTGATAATTGGGATTTTCACGGCGATAATTACCTCACCAGTAATTACATAGGCCTGTCTGTGTTTATGTGTGTGCATGAAATCAAAACCCTGGTTATTCACCTTCTGCTTCAGTACTTATCATAAAATACCATAGCCTACCTCACACACAAGAGGCTGAACACCTGTAAAGTTCTGTAGGATGGCCCAAGTCAAGGTAAAGAGAAAAACAGTTACACTTCTGAATGCAGAGCATGATTAGTAGTGCAACAATGGGTTTTAACCAGCCTTAAGTTATGTTCCTAACAGCCCTAGTGTCCACTATCCACCAAGTGCCACATCATCAAAAGACAAAATGTAAGACAAGGAATTTTGCTAAAAGGGTTGGGTTTATTCTGTAGATCAGGGGGTACAAACTGCAGAGCTTATAACTTGCCTCAACACACCAGCCTGGAAGTTTCTAGTAAGACCTTAACTGTGTTAGAAATCTCCCTCTATTAAATCATTCACTATTGCTTATAGATTACTCTGCTAATATAGTCCACTTGAGTGAATGAAAACGAATGAGTGAATTTTACACTGAGTGCACCGAAGGGCTGCCGCTTTTGCATAGTTTGTGCTTGCTTTTTAATAATGGTTTAAAACTTAGCAAACTGGCAGCTCCAGTAATGAAAAGATTCATCTTGAATTCATTTGTCATCAAAATTATGTATAAATCTTAACCAAACAGTTGAATAATCAATTAAAAAAGAAATTTATACCTATGATATTATGATGTAGCCGCATTGGACCAGAGGTTGGGAAAATGGATAGATGGATGATTCAGCTGCAGTCGCCATCTTCTGGTCAGATGCAGGAATTCATCCAGAACACGACTTTCACAAAGTGCATTATGGGTATTCTCTAGCCGTTGCATGTACGTTGGTTGTACACTCGTTATTGCGATCGATTGAGTGCATTCGATTACGTCCACTCCACTGTGAGTGCAGAAACCTGACTCACTAGCTTAGGACTTCAAAGTTCTTTTGTACTCAACACAAAACGTCCGCGAATAAAAGTCTTGAATCCAAAGTTCTTCGTTTGACTGTTTAATTATGAATTTCAAAAACATAAAATAAAACAAAAACTTGGAATCTTTACTTTTCTTACAAATTAACTGTTCCGTGTAGGTCAAAAGACTGTGTTGCTCCAAAGTCCAGTGGCTTCTGACTGCTTCGCAGTATACTATTCTTTCATACTAAATCTAACAACCAATCAAATTACATTATACTAGATCACTGGGCAACTGCTTACATTCAAATTTCTACGTTCCATTTGCAACACAGCTATTCTCAGATTTTACTAAATAAACTCAAAATATTTTAAATTATATTCAATATTATTATTAGTTCCATTGAAATGGCTTCAACATATCCCGGCCCCTAATTGACTAGGCCTTAACATATCAATTATCAACTTAAACTTAAACTGAAGCCATTTATACTGCTAAATGTAACACTATCTCAATTCCTTTTGGCAAAAAACCTATTCACAGAGAGGTATTTCAAGTAAACATTAACTGGAAAGCATTAACAACTAAATATTTTTCACAGTCTAATCAAACTGGTTATTTCTATTCAACATTCAATCTACTCTGGTAAGTATTTTTTAGCTTGTTCAAGTCTCTCTCTTCTATCTTCAGTCTTCTCCCTGAAATAAACAAAGTTTAGTTATGGGTCTTTGAATGATGCTGGTCTTCGTTCGAACTTCAGCACTTCGGACAACGCCTTTGGAATCCGGCATCACTCTCATCATTCTGCCTAACATCCAGGAATTTCTTGGCAGGAACGAATCTGCGACGAGAACAACATCTCCAACCTTGAAACTTCTCTTGAGGCCGAGCCATTTTTGCCGTTCTTGCAAAAGCGGTAGGTATTCGTGAGTCCACCTTCGCCAGAATAGATCCGCCATGTATTGTATTTGTCTCCAGCGCCGGTGGGCATAGACATCATCCTTAGCGAACACACCAGGTGGAAAACTAGGCTGTGTTTTCAATGTGAGCAGATGATTCGGCGTTAGCGGCTCGAGGTCATTGGGGTGATCTGTGTTCGTGGTTAATGGTCTCCCATTAATGATGCTTTCAACTTCGCATAGAAGAGTGTGTAGTCCTTCATCTTCTAAGAGTTGTTGCTTCACAACAGAACTCAGCACTTTTCTCACCGTGCGGATTTGACGTTCCCAGATACCGCCGTGGTGGGATGCAGCAGGCGGGTTGAAAATCCATTGCACACCCTTTCTCATCATGACTTCATTGATACGAGACTGATCCAGCTCTGACAATGCCTCACGCAGCTCTCGTTCAGCGCCGACAAAGTTTGTGCCATTGTCGGAACGAATGATTGACACTTGTCCTCTTCTTGCTTGAAAACGCCGTATGGCATTAATACAGGAGTCAGTGTCAAGAGAATGGGCTACTTCTATATGCACAGCTCTGACAGTTAAACATGTGAATAGTACTCCATACCGCTTAACCTTTGCACGTCCTCTTCTGACCTCAAAAGGTCCAAAATAATCCACACCCGTGTTGGTGAAAGGGGGTTTGTCAGGGAGCAGACGGTTTTGTGGCAGATCTGCCATTTTCTGCTCTCCTGCCTTTGCATGGAGTCTTCTGCAGAGGTTGCACTCTGAAATCACTTTTCTTGCTGCTGCATTGGCTCTTGGTATCCAATACCGTTGTCGCAATATGGCTAGGATGTGGTTCCTACCTCCATGTCCACACTCTTGATGGATGTGGTGGAGAATGAGGTGAGCTATTCTGTGCTGTTTATGCAGAATGGCAGGATGCTTGGCCTCCTCGGGCATTGCCGATCTGTTCAAACGTCCTCCTACTCTCAACACATCATCTTGCAAGTATGGATCCAGTTTGAAGATAGAACTGCTCTTTTTCACACGAGAGCCTCCCGGCTGCAAGGCTTGTATCTCCTCTGAGTAAGCTTGTCTCTGACTGTATTTAACCAGTTCCATTTCAGCTCTGGATAGATCTTCCACGGTAAGTATCCTTTTTTCCAGGTTCTTCTTGTACATCACCATTTGCTGTCCAACTACTGATCTGCATTTACCTGGATCAATCTCATTCTCTTGTATGTTCTGCTCAAACTCTTTTCTCTTCTCGCTAAGGTGCCGCAACGTCCTTCTCAAGTGCAAAATCCAGGCTGTCGCTTTTTTCAGCTTATGCCAACTGGAATAATACTCAACGAGCTGGTTCAATGGATCTGTGCACTCATTTGAGTCTGTGCATGACACTGCAGCGGATGTCTTCACCTCAACATCATCTTCAGTCAAGTAAGTACACTGTTTAGGTTGTTCTGGCCATTCAACTTCTTTTTGCAGGAAACTAGGCCCCTGAAACCAGCTTTTACTTTCCAAGAAGCTCTGGATCTTCAACCCTCTTGAAGCCTGATCAGCTGGGTTTTGTGAGGTATTGACATACTTCCACTGAGAAGATGTAGTCGCTTCTCTAATGAAAGAGACACGGTTTGCCACGAATGTCTTGAAGCGAAGCGCATCGTTTTCAATGTACTTTAGTACCGTTGTACTATCTGTCCAGAAGACCGACTCCATCAGGGGAACTTCAAGTTCTTCTTTCAACATCCGATCGATCTTGACTGCAACAGTCGCTGCTGTTAACTCCATTCTCGGGATCGTGATCTGTTTGAGCGGAGCGACTCTGGACTTTCCCATCAAGAATGATACATGTTTCTCACCCCGATCATTTGTCAGCAAGAGATACGACACAACGCCATAACCATCTTGACTAGCATCTGAGAAATTGTGGATTTGAGCAACCTTTGTTGGCCCAAATGCAGGGGGTTTGAAACATCTGTTCAGACTGAGTTCTGAAAGCTTGTCTAAGTCTGTCAGCCACTTAATCCATGTCTGGCATGACTTTTCATGGATCTCTTCATCCCAACCCTTCTTCTCTTGGCAGAGATCTCTTAAAATGAGCTTGACAGGTAGCAGGAGTGGTGCCAAAAAACCCATTGGGTCATACACTGAACTGACTACAGATAAAATACCCCGTCTTGTGCATGGCTTGTCCGGCAGATGTATTTTGAACCTGAAGCTGTCAGAACTTGTGCACCACTGTATCCCCAATGCTCGTTCCACTGGTAACTCATCATGCTCCAAATCAAGATCTTTGACCTCAGCTGCTCGTTCGTGATCGGCAATGGAACCTAGCAGAGCTCGGCTGTTGCTGACCCACTTCGTCAAATGGAAACCACCACTAGCGCACAGTGTCATCAGCTCCCTGACAAGAGTAACGGCTTTGTCTTCTGTGGCTACTGACTTCAAGCAGTCGTCCACATAGAAATTCTTGAGGACAGTCTGTGTGGCTTCTGGTGTACTCTTTGATGCTGCATCCTCCGCTGTTCTTCTCAATGCATATGACGCACAACTGGGAGATGATGTAGCACCGAACAGATGCACACACATTCTGTACTCTTCTGGTTCAACATTCAGGTTACCGCCTGGCCACCAGAGAAAGCGTAACATATCTGCGTCCGTGTCTGGAATCCACACCTGGTAAAACATGGACTCGATATCTGCCATCATGGCAACAGGCTCCTGTCTGAATCTCAGCAACACTCCGATGAGGGTGTTCGTTAGATCAGGCCCTTGCAACAACTGGTCATTTAGCGACACACCCTGGTAAGTTGCCGCACAGTCAAAAACGACTCGGAGTTTCCTCTTTTTTGGATGGTAAACCCCATGGTGTGGAATGAACCATACTCTTCCATCATTGCGAATCAACTGTTCTTCTGGAACCTTTACTGCATAGCCTTTTTCCAGTATGTTGTCCATAAATGCCCTGTACTCTTGAAAGAAGTCAATATTCCTACTAAACTTCCTCTTCAGAGAGTTAAGCCTCTGTTCAGCAATACCACGGTTGCATGGCATCTTCACCTTGTCATCCTTCAAAGGCAACTTGATGCAGAAGTGACCATCCACAAGCTGGGCTGATGTTGTCACCGTATGCATGAACTGCTTGTCATGTTGAGACTGTTCTCGTCTGTCATCACATCTTCTTTCTGGGAAATCTGCATTGTAATACTTCATTAGCATTTCTTCAACGCTTATCACAGAAATCCGATTGACAAGGAAACTTTGTCTTTTGCCATCGTCTGACTCCTTCTCTGGACATCTGCTGATTGGTCCATTGACAACCCAACCAAGAGCGGTCTTCACAGCGTATGGTCCGTCATTCTGACTATTAATGATCTCCCATGGCTCCATGGCTTTGTACGCATTGACACCGATGAGCAGACCAACTTCTGCATCCAGTTTTGGGAGATGGACTTGACTCAGATAAGACCACTTTTCCAAATCTTTCTTCTGTGGGATGTTGGCCTTTTTTGCAGGTATATCTGGCTGAGTATACACATTGGGCAGCTGAATGTAATCTTGCTCCTCTAAGCCACACACCTCCAGATCTGTAAGCTCATAGCTACTAACTTTCTGTTCTTGGGCTATAGTGCGAAGCAGGAACTCTGTCTTTCTGCCTCGCATATTCAACCTCTTCGCCAAGTCTTCAGTGCAGAAAGTTGCTGTACTTCCTTGATCTAGAAAAGCATAGGTCTTGATTATCTTTGAGTCTTTCTTATGTTTTACCCGTACAGGTACGATGGGAAGGATACACTCACTGTTCCCGGCCCCAGTATGGTCACCTCTTTTGCATCCTGCAGACACGAGAGCACTTGTGACTTCACTTGAGCTTTGTAAGCTGTCATCTGCACAGTTGGTCTTCAATGAAGCAACCTCCTTTACAACGTGCAAGATAGCTGGGTGCTTGAGTGAACAATCTGGACAAGAAGACCTTTTTTTACAGTCCTTGAACATATGACCTGCTGTCAGACACCCAAAACAAAGGCCGTTCGTTTTCAAGAACTGAATTCTTTCTTTCAGAGGCTGTTCTCTAATCTTGTTGCACGCATTCAGTGCATGGTTCTTCTGGCAGTAAAGACATGGACTTTGAAAGACACTTGCAGACTTGAGTGCAAAGGGTTTCTTCTCAGGTTGGCTTTTACTGACGCTATTTTCAGTAGCAGACACATTTACAGCAAAGCTGCTTCTTTTAGACTCACTTTTTCTAATGCTTGTTTGCTTTTTTGAGTTGATCTGGTTACTTGAAGTGGAGTCCAGGATATCTCCAAACAGCGGGTCATTGGCAACCTTTGCTTGGTGGTACACAAATTCCACTAAATCAGGAAACCTGGCTCTTTTTCTTGTTTTTTCTTGAATGTCATAAGCATGACTTCTCCATCTTTCTTTCAGTTTGAATGGAAGTTTGGATAAAATGGACTTCATGTTGGTAGGATTGTTCATTTCATCCATGTAGTCAACATCATTTATTGTGTTACAACATCCAACCAAGAACAAAGCAAAAGCATTCAATCCTTTTCTGTCGTCTGGCCTTATCTGAGGCCATTCCATAGCCTTCTTGATATAAGCTGTAGCAATGGTCATTTCATCTCCATAGTGACGATCAAGCAGCTCTCTGGCTTGTCTGTAAGCTCTGTCGGGTCTCATGTGCTCACAGCTCCGAACAAGATCAAGTGGCTCTCCACTCGTGAACTGTTCAAGGTAGTACAGCCGATCTTGATGACTGTCTGTTTTGCTGTCGATAGCATGCTCGAATGCCCTTATGAAAGATCTGTAAGTCAGAGGATCTCCTGTAAATGTGGATATGTCTCTTTGAGGCAGTTGAGACAAACTCTGTTGTTTAATGAGCATCTCTGTGACTTCGTTTTGACGCTGTAGTACTTCGTGCAGACTATCTGTAGAAGAATCAGTGTGATCATGATGATTATGATGTGGCGTGCTGCTGACAGCATCAAACCGCAAAGATGACTTTCTTCTATCTGACGCACCAACTTGAGTGTTTAGCTTTGGACTGAATGTAAAGGATGGCTTACCAGCTCCACGAAGCACGTATTCTTCCACATTATGTTTTTCTTGTCTTCGTATCAAGGGTTCAAATCTGGGTCGTGAAGGTGGCTCCAATAAGTCATAGTTAGATTCGCGAGCATCTTCAAATTCTTCATACACCTTTAATTTGCATCTGAAGCAGCAAGCTCAGTTTCAAGCTCCAATTGCTCTTTTCTAACTCTCAAGCGAACTTCTTCTTGTTCTATTGCTTCTCTCTTTTTCATTGCTGCAGCTCTTGCCAACAGTGCTTCACGTTCAGCTTTAATTCTCA